ACACACACACACACACACACACACACACACACACACACACACACACACACACAATTTGCTTACAAAGGATGTGCTGAACCACACCCAACCAGACCCGAGGCAAGGGTCCTGACCAAACCATTCTATTTTCCAAACAACACCCCATCCAGCTATGCCTGGGAACCAGCAAGGCCCCGGATCTTTTGGCATGGTGGGGTGGAAGTAGGGGGCCATTATTAATTGTCAGACCCAGTTTCCACTATTCAGTGGTATCCAGCTCAAATCGAAGTGTAGGTTCAGTTAAAATGTAACAATAAAATTACATTTGTCACCCAGCTGAATTTGTGGCCTGGAATTTATACCTTCTATACAAGCAACTTGCCAACTGCTTGGGAATTCAGTGTGGCACCTGCCCTGTCTTTGCAAAGTTTTTGTTCTTTTGCCCAGGGTCTCAGCAAACTTGAGCTCTTCTCTATGGTCTCTGTTTAACAAGCCTCTCCTCTCTCCAGGCAACCTAGCCTTTGTTTCGCTATTTCTAACTCCTGATAGAGGGTTTTCTCTACATTTCTTCATCTTGAATACATTGCAGGCAAAATGTATACTATTCTTAGCAGCTCTGCTTTGAGTCGGTAGAGTCACTTTAAGTGTCGTTAACTCATTTTGAAGATTGGACCCCCTTAGGCATTGTTACCTGGAAAGCAGAGCAACCTCTAGTGGAGAAGTGGGTCTTTATGGCCTGCAGCCATTTGCTGCAGGAAAGCCGGGTTGACCTGGATGATTTTTTCAATCTATGCTCATAATTATATTGCAAATGAGATTATATGACAGACACCTGAGATTGGTAGTGTCTTGTGCTTTAGAGTTCATTTATCTATCCTTGCAGTAATGGGGGTGGAGGTGGGGTAGGGAGTACTATTCCTGCTGCCTGTAGGTGTGGCTGAGAAGGTGGACACTATGGCTCCACCTGTAGACATGTGGCAGTGTCACAGGAGAGGGAAATACGGTGCTACCTTATTATCTGTGGAGATCACAAAGAGGAATTCCTCCAAAACAACTTCAGTCACTGTTTTCAGCAGCAGAAAAGAAAGACATGGTAATAAATGAGGTAACATTGCTAGTACTCTGGGAGATGAGAATCAAATGTAAAGGTGACCTTGGCAAATCTGAATTCACAAACAGTATGAAATTCAACGACACAGACCCCTATTCAAGTAGAAAGTAAACTTGAGGTGCAAAAGCCTGATTCATATAAAGGAAAAGGAGAGACTGTCTAGGCACAAGGGTTATAGAGGGCAAGATCTGTGATCCGAGCTACAAGCTGAATACCGAATGTAGCACTGTCGTTTTCTGATGGAAAAAACCCATGTTAACAATGGGATTCATAAAAAGGAGTGTT